TATCTCTGCTAACCTGAAGGCCACATCATGGTATTGATCCAATTTGGCTTTCCCTTGTTTTTCGTACAGGGTTACCAGCCCTTTGTAGGCCTGGACATCGTCGGGCTTGACAGTGGCAGCTTTGTGCAGAGCCTTCGCTGCGGCTTCCAAATCTCCAAGTTTCTCTCTTGCGAACCCGAGGAAGAGTAACGCGATGTAGTTCTTGTCATCTTGCTTGAGCAAATCTTCGGCCTGATCAGCGGCTTTGGCGAATTGACTGGTATCCAAGGATGCCTTGATGGCTTTCAAAGCAGCCTTGGACGAAGCCATTGTGAATTATTTAGTGATCCAACACCCTCCACGCCGCGACTTAACAAGAAATCAAGTTTGTCTCGCGCCAGTCAGTGTTGGCGCGAACGGTCTGGCCAAGCCAGTCCGTGCTTACTGCCTCACCTGGGCCACGAGGTCTCTAGACCGTTTTTTACCCCTTTTCCGTACGGAGACCGTCTTTCTCATACTGGTAACTTGACCTGGTAGTAGAGTGTTCTTTGAACTGCCTGTCCGTGATTGTGAACGACAAGGTCGAGCAAGATGAAATCATGGTGACCGTCACGTGTGAGAAATGATCTTTTTCAAATTATGCTCCACCGAAGTCTTTGCTACGGAGAATCCTTTGGCCTTTTGTGCTCTTTTCACTTCAACTTTAAAACGTTCTCGATATTCCCTATCCACTTGATGTCGAGCCTTTCACTTCATCCTTTTTACAATGCGTACTTGGGGACAGTAGTCTACTATTCGGAGAACAAGCTGTGAAGATTTGGGGATTTCGAGGCAATGGGCCGTCAGTCCCCAGTCCCACTGTTAACCAACGCGGACAACCACCATGAGATTCCATTTACTTGGAGCTTCTTGGACTAAGGGAGCCTCAAGTGGTTCCATCCTCCGCTTGGCTGAATAACTCCTGGGACAGCGATACACATGGATACTGTCTTAACTCCAGTCCTTGGTTCTGTATTCCACAGCTAGCCATGGAATCAATATCGTCCAAGGCTCAAGTTCTTTCGCTAACACAACAAGGAACACATTGTGGTTGTCCTATGTGACCTCAGTTCGATGTGATGAGACTTGGTCCTTCAGGGAGAAATAGACGAGGACGAGGGCCCTTCGAAGGGGAGAACCCTTACTGGATCAGGTATCGATGACAAAGTAAGTTAGGTTGGCAACCGGTTACAGACTCCAAACTTGGGTTGACCCTGGTTGCTAAACCTGCTCATCATTCACAACACACCTCGATTCGACAAATCCCTAGCTCTTCCCCAAGCAGAAAGGCCCTCGGAAACATTTTGAGTGCCTACACTGCAGGGTTGCGAGCCTAAGAAGAGCTCGGAGAGATTTTTCATATCTGTCCGACCTGGCTTCGGAGAGTATGTACCTGGAGAAACAGACGATTAAATGGATATTGATTTCCCAAAGTCTCAGACAGTCTAGTAGGACTGAGATATTTTTCCTCCTCCTTCCGCCGGAAAAGGGTTGTCTATGTCTTTGATATCCAGGCTGTACACTGGACAGTCCATCGAAGTACCAAACTTACTGTCTTTCCGGTCCCGCTTCTGATAGCACAACATGGATCCCCAGCAATTTGACAAGATGTTTTCTCAAGCCGATTCTATCATGGGCCCATTCGCAGAAGAGCTCCTCCGCAGAGCGAACTTCCCACCCGAGGGCAATTCCCGCCTCGTTGTCCTTGATCAGGCGTGCGGGAGCGGCGTCGTTTCCTCCCACCTCATGTCACGGCTCTCCACAGAAAACAAGTCCAGACTCGACCTCACATGCGCTGATATCTCAGACGCCATGATCTCCAATGTATCAAGGCGCGTCGAGGTCTCTGGATGGAACAATGTGTCCGTAGTAAAAGCGGATGCCATGGTGCCTTGCCCCATGCCCTTCCTATTGAAATGACTAAGACTGATACAGAGGCTGGCAGGACACAAAGTTTCCCTCTTCGCACTTTACGCATATCTTCTTCAACTTCGGGCCTCAAATCCTACCCAACCCTCTCGCTGGCATTAAAGAGTGCCACCGCATTTTACAGCCAGGTGGAACTCTGAGCTGCAGTACCTGGCAAGAAGTCCCGTGGTTCGCAGACTACCGTGCAGGTATCGCGAGGTATCCGTCATTGCCCCCTTTCCCATCGGACGAAGCTCTTCGACACGCATTCTCCGAGGCACCAGAACGTTGGGACAACGTTGACGACGTCAAGTCACATCTGAAAGAATGTGGCTTTCGCGACGTCGAAGCTCAAGTGACGGAGAACACTACGACCATGACCGTCGCGGAGGTCGAAGCCATGTTGCCATACTCCCTGGTCATGATGATTGAGAAGTTTTGGAAGAACCAGGGCTCTTTGAAGACAGAGGAGGAGTTTAGACAGGCCAAGGAGAGTGCACAACGAACCATCATGGATTACGTGAAGGAGAAGTACAGGTCTGGTCCGGTTGTGTGGAAGTGGGTGGGCATCGTCGCCAAGGGTCGGAAAGGCTAAGAGGCCTCGTACTCACAAAGATGTCCAGAGAAGAAGATGAATTGTCGTGCCTCTTGTGATGTACACCTCCTCGGTCTGGTAACCTTGGTGGACAATAACTGTTCTCTAACCCCAAAATCCAATACAATAGATTGATCGCCTGCACTGGGTATTATAAAACAGGACACGATGGCCTTTTCTTTGGCTCACGTACAACGGTATCGAAAGGGAGTGCAACGAGAAGTGATTACGGCCAGGGTACCTTTCCGAGGGAGGACAACTTGAGCGATAGTCACAAGCCCAGGGCTGACTTGTCGATTCAGTGGACGTATTCAACACATGCCCGGCAATCTAACACTCTGTAACATGTGTGGATCGCCTCGAACAAGGCTGAGGAAAGTTTCAGACGTCTGCAAGCGCAAAGGAGCATGAAACTGGAGAAACGTGTGAAGTAAGCATAATTGTCGACATGAAATGTACCACCTATGCGGTGTCTTTCTTTGCCACGGTTCTGTTAGAGACCTCGATGCCCGCCAGATTCTGGGATATGCTTTAGAAATTCCCTTCGCGTTTTCAACAATCATTTTCATTTGCCTTTCGCTGCGTTTCGAGACGGGAATTCGATAAAAGTGCCGTCTTCGTGCACGTGGACCGATGTCACTCGAGTTCCCTTTTCCGTATAGTAACTGATGGTAATGACAGGCTTCTCGTCACTCGGGTCCTTGGCCGAGGAGTGAGGTTTGGAACCCCTAGGCCGTCAGTCTTGTGGTTAGCCGTGGTACAGTGCATCTAACACTCCCAAGTAACCTAGACAAGTGGGATGGTACTGTATTTTGGCATTCTGGGCATTTGGATACTAGCCTCTAAAGTCAGCACAAGGTTGCTCGAGAGGTCTGGTGTGTAACAGGACTGTTCCACCGACCTTTTCCTCCATCGCATTGGTTACTACGTCCGTAGCTTTCTGAAAGGACTCTGGAAGAGACTGTTTTGTTGTAGAACCCAAAAACTTGATCAGAAGAGGGGCAGTTCTCTGCATTTCTAAGATAAAGGACGATTAGGACTGAGAAGGATAATTGCGAACTTCTGCTGAAGAACAGTGTTCGGTGTGACTATGTAGGGTTGAGAACAGGATAGTAGTGTACTCTCACGAGGATGTCTGAAGACACACGATCCCGTCACGCAAAACAACTTCATCGTGTGACACGTTGATGAATCAAACAATCGTGATACATGTCTTGCGGCTGAAATGGGCCAGCATCGGTGGCCGTGGTGATGCGATGGCGGTGAACAGCATTGCTCGCGTTTAGTGATAGATGAACGTGAACCAATATGTCGAAGCACACAAGACGCGAGAGCACTGCTCTCCTACTCCAGACCTGCCGATAGTCTTGCTACCCCCACGATTGTGCTTTTCGCCGCGTAGCACGTTCTCCCTGGCTTGTGGAGATAGAGAAGGTGCTGCCGACGAACAACTGATCACGAACTGCTGATGCCACGCCTGGCGAATGAGTGCCTCGGCGGGGTGTGGGTGCACAAACATGTGTGTCGCTTTGGGGCATTGCTCAGTTGCAGCTGCTGCATGAGTCCATCGCGATTTTCAGAGCTGCGGGACAGGTGGACAGCGGTTTGACAGGGTGAATAGTTGGCTTCATATTGGTACCTCGACAAACTCAGGTTGGTTGTATCCACAACACGAGCAGCAAATTGAAGACCTCCCTGCAATAAGATGCAATCGTTTAGGGCGCCATTCTTCAGTGGGTTACAGAACAAGAGTTCCCAACCCTTTGGTGCAACATACCCTTCCAGCAAATAGGAGCGCTGACTTCACGTGGGATGAGGCAGTCGCAGCAGCGAGAGAGCCTGCGCCTCAGCCCTAGACATCTCTCATATCGCAATGCACATCCTCGCAACATATATCAGAAAGACAGGGAGTTGAGGAAGTAGAGGAAGCCGTTCACTAGTCGAAGGTGCTGTTGTGGTCACTAGGGATGAAGCCGAAAAGGGGTGGCTTGGCCTTTGGAGAACACGTGGCAAGCTCCTCTTCCCCTACAGAGTGTAGAGCACATCAGAACAAGGAAGCAGCTTTTCTTCACTTTTTTCGTAGCTGAGCCAACCCCGGCTACTCAGCTGTCCCCAGTCAGAGTTGTGCGATGCTGCTTGTCGATGCTGAAGCTTCGGCCCCGCCATCAGAACTCGGGCTGGCTTTGGTGGCGTTTCATACGTTGCCTCAAGGTGAAGGGGGCTTTTGATTGGTCTTCAAGATACAATATTACAGTGAAGGCGAGAGGCAGCAGAACCAGCTCTGTCGCTCTTTCCTAGCCTTGTCATCCGATTCCAATCCTTTCTAGACAGTACCATGATGGTATTGGCCTTTCCACGAACGATACGGGCCCAACTGCATTCCTGGTCTCTGTCTCCCATCCTACACTGGAATCAACAGGCTGCTCCTCGAATCACCAGGCGAGTCGAACAGGTGTGGATGGCAAGATCTGCAAGGAGCATGTCGATTCAGCCCCGCACCTTTCCGACCGATGGCTTCGTTACCCTCCCAAAACATGAAAAGTTCGAGGAGGAGAGACTCATTGGCTACAAAGCAGAAAAGTTCTATCCCGTTCGACTGGGGGAGGTCTTTGAGGCGAGGTACCAGGTCGTCGCAAAGCTGGGCTTTGGCACCGCCTCCACTGTCTGGCTCTGCCGGGATCTGCAGTAAGTCAACATTCTTATCCTATGTTTTCGTGACATTCTGCTAACTACTATTGAGTGAAAACGCCCTGGTCACTCTCAAGGTCTGCATCATCGGAGAGGATGCTACACAAGAGTTAATGATTTCTCGCCATATCAAATCCATCGACACGGATCACCCTGGTAAGGGCAAGCTGCGTGTATCGCTGGACGACTTCCATATCAAAGGACCTTGTGGATCTCATCAATGTCTGGTTTTCGAGACACTAGGCCCTACCTTAACCAGTCTGCGAGATTTGTTTGATGACAGGGCTCTCCCAAAGACACTTTTGCAGAAATTCTTGTTCGTGATTGTGACGGCCTTGGACTTCATGCACCAGGCGGGGGTGGTACATACAGGTCTGTCCCCGTATCTGGATACATCCACAGCGTGTTGGCAGCTAAGGAGGATCCTAGATCTATCGCCCAACAACATCCTTGTCGGCACCAACGCTATCGCAGTATCCAAGGTCGAGCAGGCCGAACAAGATAGCCCGTCGCCGCGGAAGATTCTAGCGGATCGCACCATCCATCTTTCCTATGACATGCCAACGACCTACGAAGCGCCGGTTATTACCGATTTCGGCGCTGCTCGCTTGGGGGAACCGGAGCAGAAGTACTCTGGCGACGTCATGCCAGGTGTTTATCGAGCGCCTGAGATTATTGCTGGGACAGAATGGGACTCGAAGATCGACATCTGGTCCGTTGGAGTCATGGTGCGTATAATAGCACCTGAAAAGTTCATTTCACATGGCGCAATTGACACTTCTTTAGATTTGGAGCCTGTTCGAAAGCCGAAATCTCTTCTATGCCGTCAAGGACGGCCATCTCAACGACGAGCTCCACTTTGCTGAAATGGTCTCTCTCATGGGACCTCCACCAAAGGAGTTTTTGCTTCGCTGCGATCGAAGTCGTCAGTACTGGGATTCGGAAGGTAAGGACGCACGGTTCCAGAGCTGAGAGTCTCTATTTCTCTTGGAAGAGCCTCACTAACGGACAAAGGTAACTGGATTGCTGAGACACCGATTCCCGACCAAACTCTTGAGACGCGTGAGACACGTCTGGAGGGCGAGGACAGAGCACTGCTCCTCGCTCTCGCTCGCAAGATTTTTCGTTGGCTTCCGGAAGAGAGGCCGTCAGCACAGGATCTCTACGATGATGAATTCCTTACCCAGTTTGTGTCCAAGGACGAGCCAGGCACTTCTTAAACACCGGAAGTTCGTGGTGCTGTGGATCTGACGCAGCCTTTCGAGCGTGAAGATCATATCGCTGTCAAAGGTCTGACAAGGAGAACTACACGCACGCTACAGCTTGGATAGCAACCTCACTTTTGGGTACGCTTGGTGGGAGGGTCGGTGAAAGTGGAGAGAATCTCGCACTCAGTCAGAACATATGGCTTCCTCCCAGCCGACCATTCTTGACTTCTGAGATAGCGATATGCAGGACAAGCCCTCCTGCTGCTCCAGGAACGGATCTTCTGATGCTCGATCAACGATGTTAAGGGATACAAAGACTGCCTACTGACTGATGAGGGTGTAAGGCATGCTGGAGGAACACCTCCAGTGGACAGGACCGTCTCGCGCGAGAGAGAAAGTCCCAGCATTTTGACAGCGGAGGCTCATCTCGCAAACCAGAGAAAGAGTGAAGGCAGATTCCAAATACCCCATGCTGGAAGTATCGGATGGCAGACCGGAAGAGTTATTCGTGAGGAAAAGGGAAACATGCATGTACTATATGTAGATGATGTAGGGAATGCTAGTACCACAGGACACGAGGCATTTTTTTTTTCGTGGATGGAGGGTATTCTAGAGGTCGACATCCAAAGACCCCAAAACATGGAATTGCACGTCTGGATAGAAGGTTCGCTCCCACCAGGGCTTGTGAGGCTAGAATCCAGTGATATGGAGACCAGCATTAAAGGCCATTTTTGGTGCCACCTGCGGGTGGGCGCCCAACTGGCAAGTCATGCTTCGTCATCATGCAGAGCGAATCACCAGCATCGTCCTTTATCCCCGATCCAAACGTTCGGGTATATGCTCCTTCGGAAAGTTGAAGGCCATTACATCCCACGATCACCGTTCCGTGTCAATCGACCATGAGGCAGACCTGATTTCCGGAAGCTTGCATTCTCTCTCAGCTCTGCCATTGACGTCGCACTGCCTCTACAAAAGTCGGCGTTGAACAACCATCCGATTCCCCTCACCACCTGTTCATACCGCATGCTCCCGCAGCGTATTCCCTGCATTCACCTCGCTTCCCAATGACGACCCGTGGACTCTCAATCGACGGAGTCCGATTTCGAGATACCCAAGGACGCGAGGTGACCTTTCGCGGCATCAACGTCGCCGGAGACTGCAAACTTCCCCGTCACCCGAGCCAACCCTCGCACGAACAGAAGGACTTCTTCGACGCCAAAAGTGTCTCGTTCGTGGGACGCCCTTTCACAGAAGAGGAGGCACATGTACACTTTTCCAGGATAAAGAGATGGGGATACAACGTTATTCGGTACCTCTTCACTTGGGAAGCTCTGGAACATGCTGGACCGGGCCAATACGACGAGGAGTTTATAGACCACACCATCAAGATCCTGCGGATAGCAAAGTCCTACGGTCTCTATGTCTTTATGGATCCTCATCAGGATGTCTGGTCTAGATTCACCGGTGGCTCTGGCGCACCTCTTTGGACCCTTTATGCTTGTGGACTGGACCCGGAGACCTTTGCGGCGAATCAAGCTGCGGTTGTTCATAACACATGGCCGGATCCTGCACAGTTTCCAAAGATGCTGTGGCCGACGAATTACACCCGTTTGGCTACCGAGACTACCTTCACCCTGTTCTATGCTGGTCGGGACTTTGCACCAAACGCCATCATAGACGGCAAAAACATCCAGGACTACTTGACGGACCATTTCATTGCCGCTTGTGCACACCTGGCCCAGAGAATACACGACACGGGCGGACTGGAGGATGAATGTATCATTGGATGGGAAACGATGAACGAGCCGCATCGAGGGTTGATTGGTTGGGAAGATCTCAATGGGCTCCCGGAAGAGCTCAAAATGAGGAAAGGAACAATGCCAACTCCGTGGCAATCCATTCTCACGGGATCGGGCCGTGCTGCAGAGGTCGACGTCTACGAGTTCAGCACGTTCGGGCCATACAAGAGCGGTCGGGAACTGGTGGATCCGGAAGGCGTATCGGCGTGGTTGTCGAAAGATTTCGATGACACACAGTACGGTTGGAAGCGAGATCCGGGCTGGAGACTCGGCGAGTGCCTGTGGGCTCAGAATGGCGTCTGGGATCCCGCCCAGGACCAACTCTTGAAGCCCGATTATTTCGCCTCGATACCCAAGTCGGGAGAGAAGTTGGACTATCTCAAATATACCAACATATACTATATGCAGCATTTCCGGAAGTACAGAGATGCCCTGCGAGCGATCCACAAAGATTGTTTGATCCTGGTGCAATCAGCTGTTCTGGAAATACCTCCGAGCATCAAGGGCACTATCGACGACGACAAGAGGCTGGTCTTCTCGACTCATTATTACGACGGCATCACGCTACTTCAGAAGCACTGGAACAAATACTACAATGTGGACGTCTTCGGAATCCTGCGTCACAAATACTCTAACCCCGTGTTCGCTGTTCGGCTTGGTGAGACAGCCATCAGGAACTGTCTACGGGACCAGTTGAAGGCGATACGCGAGGAAGGCGTGACTTATCTCGGAGACCACCCTACGCTCTTCACCGAGATTGGAATTCCTTTCGATATGGATGATAAATACGCCTACAAGTCCGGCGACTATTCGAGCCAGATCTCAGCCTTGGATGCCAACCATTTCGCCTTGGAGGGCTCGGGCTCTCAGGGGTATACCTTATGGACTTATGTAGTTGAGGTAAGGAGATAAGGAGACAAGCCAGCCCATCACTTTCGATTGCTAACATTCCCAGAACAATCACCAATGGGGAGATTTATGGAATGGCGAAGATCTCTCTGTCGTCTCGGTCGATGATCCTCTCCTTCCAACTGCCTCGACCTTGACAACCCTTCCCACTACGAACCCCTCCACAGCATCCTTAGGCCGGGAGTCAACTTCATATTCAAGCACAACACTGTCCGACTCGACCACGATAAACCCATCAAACCTCAAAGACGCGCTAAAGTCTCCCCAGATCAACCAGACGCAAGCTACACCTCTGAGAGGCACAGACGGTCCAGTTGGTTTCCGTGCTGCCGAAGCGTGGGTCCGGCCGTCTCCGATCGCGACCGTCGGCGACGTCGTGTCTTACGGCTTCGATCTGAAATCCGTGACATTCACCTTCTCGTTGACTTCAGACAGTGCGACAAAGGAGTCTGTCCCCACGGAGATTTTCTTGCCCGAGTTCCATTTCCCGCCCGGTAAAACGCAGGTGGAGGTGAGTGGCGGACGATGGAGAATCGACGCGGTGGACGTCGACGGGGAAGCGATGCAAGTCATGAAATGGTGGCACGGGGCGGGCGAACAGACCATGACCGTCAAGGGCATGAAGAGGAAACCGGGCGCGCTAAACGAGGAGGACGATTCGGAAGCCGGCTACCTCGAGACAATGCGCGAGAGCTGTTCCGTCATGTGATGCGATGTGATATGACAAGGTGCGAGATTGTGCGAGACGGCCGTCAACTCATGTATGCATGTCTTTCTTGATCAGCGAACACGGGAAATGTCAGGTAAATAGGTATCTACTGGGGCGTCCTCGGAAGTAGGCGGTCGGCAGAATTCACCATATCTTTTTCTTCATCGTTCATATCGGAACCGATTTGGAGGGGGCCTGCTCTACAGCGTGCAACAAGTACAGTATTCCTCCTACCGATATTTCCCTGTCATCTAGTGCTGTGCTGGAAAGCAGGCAGGTAAAGAGGGTGGACGAACCACGATGACATGCAGTGCAGTGCAATATAGCAGTAAACTAACAGTTCCAGTACTTTGTCTTGAAGTCCTGTGTTCTGATCATGACTCGCTCGGAACGAGATGTAATTGATGGGGAAGTTTTTAACCATCTATTTGTCGGTCATTGATCGCCTGCATCCTCGGCAGTGTCAATACCGCCATCGTCAGCATCATTGTCCGCGTCCGCGTCGTTCTCTACCTGTGCGGACACCCCGTTCTGTTCATGCTCATCCCCCTCGTCGTTCTCGTTATCATCCCCCTCCCCCTCCCCACCACCTGCATTCTCCCCCCTCAACCGGCCCCCCTTCCTCTTCGGAATGACCCTCAAAAACGCCTTGCCCCAGTCCTCCTCCTCGAGATATCTGAGCAAAATCTCGACGACGTGGTTCGTGGCCAGGACCTTCCGGGACGTCATCTCCAGGTACTCGCCGATGGGCAACTTGGCGGTCTTGATCCCGCGCTCCCGGGCCGTCTTGTAACAGATGCCCTTGTGGCGGTTCTTGTCGACCAGGCCGCCGACGATGTAGGTCGAGTAGGGGGACAGGGTGGTCAGGGTGTCGGGCGAGTCGGAGGTGAGGTAGATGACTTCGCCGGGGGGAGGGGCAGACGGGTCTGTCCGTGGAGAAGAAAGTGGGATTTGCGGTTGGGTGGGTTGAGGATCCTTGGGTCCTGATGGTTGCTGGTCGCTGGGAGTACCGTCTGCTGCATCAGTTGCCTCGACCTTATCGGGTCGTGCAGAGGGCGCTGATCCATTCGCAACGTTGGATGTTTCGCCCTGAACGGCGGAAACTGGGCCACCAGCACCAGCTTGTGGAGCAGCAGCAGCAGCAGCGTACTTCTCAAAACAACCGACGAGATTGCCACCTCCAGGCCCTTTCATCAACTCGTCAGCCTTCTTCGCCGCCTCGACAAAATCCCCCTCCACAAACGTGACATTCCTCCAGTTCAAATAATGCTTGTTGAGCACTGTGTCGAACCTCTTCTTCAGTAGTCCACCCCAGGAGCTGATCACAAGATGAGCCCGATACCGCGAGCGCGAGTTGTCGGAGTAAGACCGCGTGAGTTGCGAGCCCAGCGATATGCGTTCCTTGTCCAACATGAGATCGTCGAAGCCGCAGTCGATAAGGATGGTCACGGGAACCTGGATAGACCGACGGTGTTTCATCTTAGGAGGTACCTGAGGAGGATTTGGCATTGTCTTCATCTTTGTCCCGTCAACTTCTCCATCCCCTCCTTCGCCAGCTGGAGACCGTTGCAGCGTCTGGAGACCGTGCTGTTCCTCCTCTTCTCGGGCGGCCCGTTTCCTGGCCTTCTTCTCCTGTGTCTTCTGTTTCCGCTTCGCCTTGCGGTAATCTCGGGCTGCCTCCCATTCCTGTTGCTTTCGTAGTTTCTTCAATTGGTTCTTGGACAGCGGCTTTTGCAGGTCGCCATCTTGCGGATGCTGCAGCGCAGGGAGCGTGTGGGTATCATCTGGTAAGGTTCCTGAGGATACATCCAGGCCTTCCGACTCGTCTGGGATGAATTCTCCTCCATGTTGTCGCTTCACTGAAGAGTCTTCAATATTAGCAGTATACTCCTCCTCTGGCTTACTGTTCTGCGACAACGGAGCATCGGCGGCGCCATTGGTCGTGCCAGGTAGTTTTGACAACAGAGGAGTACCCGTGTCTTCATCTGAACCGGTGTCATCGTTAGAGTTGAGCTTTCGAAGCTTTGCAGGCCGCTCCTCTGCCTCCATAGCGAAGTGTCAACAGTCGGAATTAGTCGCCAGGGTATGTGAACGTCTAAAGCCTTTCCAAAACTTTTCTCCAGTACAACGCAGGTCGCAGGCAAATTTACCGCCGCTTTTAAAGGGGTGCTTCTATCGACGCCAAGATCTATGCCCCCTACGTCCTCAGCCCTCGCCGTATCTTAACCTACTTGCCTACCTGAATTATTATCCGTCAGGTTCTCAGGAACCACTCCATATACTGTAAGTCATGAGTGAGCCATTCGGGTCAATTGGTCCACTCCTTTGCGTCTCCAGGCAGCAGTTTTGACTGCATGAGCAGGGGAGTGCGGAACCGGGAACCCAAGGGCAAATTGTGTCGAACCCAATCCGGCGTTGGAATTTTCCACAAATCGAGGGCCGTGCGCAGCAGATGAGGATCAATGAATTAATCAGTGTCTTCTGGGATGAATTCCATCACGAAAAACCCACAGCGTAAGCCCCAACTCAGGGTAGACTCTTGATCCTCAAAATAGTGGTACACCTTGGGCACTCGGAATGACGCTTCTTGACTGTGTTCCCATAGATAGTTTTGCACGAGAGCCTCGTCGACGTTCACCGTGGCTCCCCGCTTGATGTAATACTGATCTGTGTGGAATTAGGGGAATTCGGATAGCTGTGTCGTTGAAACATGCTCGCGGCAGAGGTCCCGGATCTGCTGGTCTGTCCAGGTAGGCGATACAGTGCTGAACATGATATAGCTGGTCATCATGTCTGAAGAGAGTTGCCTCAGCTTGATGGAGGAGGACAGTCGAATTAAGATGTTGGCATCCTCGAGAGTACGTAGCACCTCCCTATTGTGGTCTAACTCTGATTAAAAGCCATGCTACCCAGGAGCAGCCGAGGAGCAGCCGAGGAGAACTGGAATTGAGTGGCTTCCGCAGGATGGAAGCAAACACAAGGAGCGAATAGAACTCACCCGAATAGTAATTATGTAGTCGCTAGCTACTGGAGTGGTATTAATACTCCGACCTAGCATGCGCACGTGCTGCTGCTTTAAGTCTCTGGAACCCAAAATTGGGCAAACCCCAACTCGACTTGCAGCGGCCTCGTCCTCCAATTGACCTCATCTCGAACTTCCAAGCTACTCTTTCACCACTGCATTCACCCTGTCTATGCATGTAGGTCGCGATACACCCAACCGGACCAGCCAGCCCTTTTAGAGGATGCCTCAGGACCTCCCGCCCACGGGCGGCTACGAAGCCGTTCAATACAGAGTACGTCTACAAGCTCTCTCGCGCCTCCACCACTCGGGTCTTCCCTACACCCTCCTCCCCTTCCCTCCCCCCCAACCCCAACCCGTTCGGTAGCAGCAGCAGCATGAGAAGAAGAAGAAACAGCGCACTAACATTTTCTGTCCTCTCGTTTCCCCCCCGCAGCGTAACATACCCACACGCGGCCTCAAACCCGTCTGGTACCTCGTCGGCGTCGGGGCCGTGATGGCCTACGGCTGGCGCCAGGTGTTTGTCGGACAGCGCGAGAAACACGAAATGGCCCGCGAGAAGATGTGGAGTCGGATACACCTGACGCCGTTGCTGCAGGCCGAGGAGGACCGGGACCAGGTCAGGAGATACTATGCGGATTTGGCCAGGGAGAAGGAGCTGCTCGGCAGCCAGAGCGGGGCTTACAACAGTGACCGGTACGCTTTCGTCCATTTCCCCGTGCTTTTTTTTTGTGGGAGCTGGACTTGGATCGGGTTATTCCGCAGAGGATGGAGATTCAACGACATCAGAGGAAGTCTTCCGTGGCCAGGAGGGAGAAAGAGAGCGAGAAGGAGACCACGAGGAAGAACACAACAGGTCCCAAAACAGGTCGAGAAGAGGATATGCTGACATTCCTTGCTTCCAACCACAGATTCGTGAGACCGACATTTACAGCCACACCGAACAGAACGGTGGAATGAGGCGGCAGATTTTGATATTGGCGGCGTCCCGAGCCTTGCTCTCCGATCAAGCGACGGTTAATCGTCACCCTCGAACAGCGAGCAGCGAGCAACGCAAATCCACATCTCACGTCCCCAAAGATCCAAGAGTCAACGAGGCGCGGGGGCGAAAAGCCCCCTCGAAGGGATCAGGACGAGGACGTGTGTGGGAAGATCTTTACCAAACCCCCGACATGTACATACATAGAATAAACCGCAAAAAAATTTCTCTCACGATACAGAGACACACCATTGGAACAGACAAGGCCCATCAATCAATCAGTCAATCATAGTCATCACAGATCAAATCAGATCATCATCATCATCATCTACCAGAGTAGAGCCAGTGCAGGGGAGAAGTCCACAAGACCGATCTCTGACGACAAGGGCTGGCCACGTTTTCACCCCCCTTTGGAGCTTCATATAGATATCTACGTTGGCAGAGCGATCCACCTCGCGATATCCAACGTGGAATTACATGCACCTACCTACCCTGTGTACCTACGTATCTTGTCACTAATCATCGTCCGTTGGCCCCTTTGACTCGTGAGCAGATAGTTCTAGCTAGCTTCCAAACATATCCGCGACTCCCGCCAAATCAGCTCCGTCGTCCCCGATACTACCACCACCACCACCACCACCAACAACTTTCCGGCCCCCGTCTTCCACGCCCTGCATGCTCAGCATCTCTCGTTGCTTGTACTTCTCCAGGATCTTCGACTGCTGCTGTCTCGTGTCGATCTTGCCGAGCTCGCTGACCCGGACCCCCCTGACGCCCTCGAGCAGCGCGAGTATAATGGCTCGGAGCCTCTTGGACCGGTTGCCCAGCGATGCTTCCTTGAGAAGCAATGTAGACGCGTGATTGACCTTCGCTTCCGTCATGCCTGGCAGGCTGAGTATCACGTCCCGGGGCGTCGGGGTCAACGACGGACGTTCGTGAGCGGGTGTGGTTTCTGTGGCGGGGACGTGATTCGGCAAACCGTACGACAGCCAGATCGTCGCGATCAGCTGGGCGTAGTAGACCTGCTGATCGGCGAAATAGCCATCGTTCAAGCAAGTGATTGCCGTCTTGAGCATATCCGTCGAGATGTACTCGCGCACGGCGGCGGCCTCCTCGCCACTAACAAAGCGGTCGGACGCAAACTCTGGAACAAGACGGTGCGCGGTCATGAGCATCTGGTAAGACGATTTCATGTCCTTGAACGCAAGCGCATGGTTGATGAGGACAAGCAGCTTTTCCAGGAGATGTACGTGCGAGAGTAAGAAATCCCGCATCGTTTGTTGAGTGCCATCCGTCAGATAGTTGCGATTGACAATCGCCTTCTTCGAGCTCAGCTCCTGCTCGCGCCTCGGCTGCAACCAGTGTGCAACCAGATTGACCGCCCGATAGGTAGTCTGCCGCAGCACCGAGTCATCTCTCATCTCGTCGCTGAGGTTCTCCTCATCGTGCTTATTCTGCTTGCGCTGGTTCATCTTCTCCCACTCGGTTGATAGCTTGATGTCCATCTGCACAAGCACAGACGATATGATTGGAGTCAAAAAATGTTGCCGACTTCCCGGCGGGCATTCGTCAATCAATTTGGGCAGCATCTGAAGCATGACCGCGAAATGATGTGGACTTAGCGGGACTGCTGAATCAATGGCGGCTTGTGCGATCAACTCGGGGAGTTGCTGCATGCTGTAGAAGGTCGTGCCTAGCCTGCCCAGTGTATGGAGGATGCTGTAGCACTGTTCGAGATATCCACGTATTTTCCCTCGCACTGACGATGCAAATCCCTCGAGCGTGGACCTGGAGGCCTTGACCCTGCTGTGAAACTCACCCATGGAGCCGGACGAGATACCCGACTGCCAGTATCGGTCTCGGAGAACTCGTCGAATGACGCCCTCAAGCTCAGCAGGTACATTCGGCCACGATGAGGGATTGTGCAATTGGTGATTATAGCTCGTCAGACGGAGAACATACTCCAGCATCGTTGGGACCATGGGTAACCACAGGTCACATATCATGTTATGGAGCTGTGAACCTTGTTCGAGTCTCTCGGTTGATATGCTTAAGAAAATGCGCGTGGCTCGAAGAGGTAACCTGGCGTAGGCAGACGACATTTCGTTCTGAATCTGCACCCCACGATTGTCGAAGGGAACTGCAGACCAATCCTCAATCTTGCCCGCTCCCAGAGATGCCAGGTACGGTCCAATCTGATCGAACCCTTGAAAATGAGCAAAGGACTCCAGACTGCCCAGAGCGGACTGGAAATTTTGGTCTGCCCAGGCTGCCGCAATGGGTTGAAGAAACTCTTCGAGCTTAGCCTGACGGTGGGTGTAGTCGACCCCTGTCGCATGTTGGATGACAGAGAAGAGCGTAGACTTCAGGTCAACCTGCAGTCGCTCGCTCGCACTGATCTGATTTATTAGATCCGAGAATTTCGCTTGTAGCTGGTCATAGAAGGTGACAAAATAGTCGGCATGTTGCAACGACAAGCGTCTTAACTCGCTCGTGGCATAGCTGTGCAAGTCCTCGACGGCATCCGCATAGCTGGAATCTTGTTGTCGAACGATGATAAAGGACGACAATATGTGCTCCAGGACACTAAAGGCGAAGCCCGTGTCCTTTCTCAGAGCCCGGTTGGAAACTTCGACTACCGTCTTGATCTGGCGTTGTCTGATTTGCGGGTCTTTGAAGTGTCGGTTTTTCATCATGTTCAGCACCCACGCTTTGGTCTCTTCCCGCATTCTTTGCACCAGTTGGTCTTCTTCTGGGCTTGGACCTTCTCGGTGTGCGTCCTGCCATCGATCAAACCCTTTGAACGCAGCATCAACCATGGCAAAGTAGGCATCAGCACGTAGAAGATGCATGGATACGCGTTCATACCTCGTGATGTCGAAGTGTTGTTCCGCCGCTTCGATCTCGTTTAGGAGAGCGTCAACTCGATTCATCACGGCTTGAAGCGCATCTTCCAGTTGTGCGAAACATATCCATTCAATGACAGCCGAGCATAGTCTGCGGTAGTTCATATAGAATCCCTGGCGTTCCGGAAAGAGCTCAATCTCCTCATTCACGAATACCACGACGGGCTCCCGAGTATCATCGGGGAGCTGATCGTATTGCATGAGTCGTTGTGAGGCCACCTCCAGAAGCGGGCCAACACATTGAGATACAGCAGCAGTTGTTCGCCAGCTCTGTACCTCCAGCATCTTGACCCAGGAGTGAACGACTGGGATCGAGACTATCAAGCTTTCGTGTTCTGCCACCATGGTCAAGAAGCGTAAAAAGGGGAAAAGGTCGAGGGTGCTGGGTTCTGGGGGTTTGTATTGGCACATATGATCTGCAAATAACGACATCAACTCTGAGAGTTTTTTCGAAATGACATATTTGCTGCTGTCCATTTCATCTACCGAAACAATAGACCAGCTGTATAGTTGTCTGAATGTGGCGATACTGTCTGGCTGGATCAGAGGATGCACGAGAGCTTGCACTTCGAGCTCTTCTAGTCGGACTCTTCCGTATAGCGACAGTAGACTGTCCATTGCAGCCATGATGAGATCTGGATCTGCCTGGGTGAGGCATCCACATGTCACTGCTAAAGCCATTGAATGAACAATAGCTGGTGTCATGACCCAGGTGAAGGCGGAGCGTATAGTGGCGAGAGCTTTCAGGACGACCTCCTTCAGCTGTCCCTCTACACTGGGGCTCTGTATCGCTTCCTCAAGGAATTTCGTGATCCTGCTGAGCCATCCATCCTGCCCAAAGCGCATGTGGTGGGTGGTATCGCCGATTTTGATGCCTCCTGCGAAGTTTGAGCTGGATGTGAAGATCTCGACAAGTGCAGAGTTCAGCTCTCGCCCGCGCATGATGGCAACACTATCGTCCCGAACAAATATGTCTTCAGACAAGTTTTCCAGTATTGTGAGCACAAAGTCCTTGCGCACAAGATCCTGCTCCCAGAGGTACACCAACTGCTCGTCCAAGCCGAACATATCCAGAGCCCAATAGCGCTTGGCCAATTCGATCCATAGCTCAGCTATCTTGTTGCGGATGAAGACAAGTTCCGTGTCCCGGATCGACCGGCCCAGTTCGTTAATACATTCTCGAAGTTGATTCATTTGCTGCTCGGACAGATGGTGAACCTCATGCCGGACGATGTGACTGAGCACCGAAAGTCCGAAATGTTGTACCAGAGGTGGCTGCGATTTGTCACTTGCGAGGGCGCACCCATACTGAAGCGCTTCATTGCTCAACTTCAGATTCTCCAGGTACTCTGAAGCTTGCCTCCTAACCTCATTCTTGGTGGTGGGATTGTGGATGACCTGTAAGGCTTCCAGGATATTGGAGGTGTCGTAAGAGTGTTGGCGTGCTCCATTTGTGGTGCCGTTGGCTGTAGCTAGGTCTGTCATCTCCAAGTCCGTCGATCTACAGGGTGACAGTCTGTGATCTGAGTGGCATATCGTCCTGGGGCAGATCGGCTTAGGAGGCAGAGGGTAAGGATATGCAGAGGCGTTTATGCCTCCTAAGTGTTGTTCCTGGCGGCAACTCTGAACAATGGTACAAACAGATCCCCCTGTCGCTCTAATGTCTGGCGGGTTCAGAGGTGAAGATTTGTCACCACAGCCACCGCACCCGTTTTCGTTCCTTTTTTTCTAGAAGAGCATGTGGTCTCTGCGTCTAAAATCCAATATGGTAGTAGATGAGGACGGCTTGATCGGCTACGCACTCCGCCGGCGTCAAGAAAGATCCATGGAGAGAAGAGAAATTGTTTGAGGAACAGGGGCATGCGACACCCATCAGTGTCAAAAGTGACGATTTGCGGATGAAACAAACTCCTGCCAAACAAAGAGTCGCCTCGCCCAAAACGGAAGGTTTAACCGGGGTGTAATATATGCATCCCTTTGTTTGTTTCTCTACTTCTATCTCTCTTGCTTCTTCTACCACGTTGCCTTTTGGGTTTTAGCTTCAGGACCTACATCGACTGTTCGCAGTCGCCTAG